ATACAATCAAACCTAACATACAGATCTAGGGTTTCCCACACCCAGATGAATGGGAGAACTACTCCATGGAGAAAGAAGCAAAAGCAGAATCAGACGCGGAAATCATACTGTGAAGATGGATTTCTGCTCCTGGACGTTGAATCGGCACTTCTCCAAGCTCAAACCAAGCTCCAATGGTGTTGAAGATCGATCTAGGGCGCTTGGAGACTCTTGTTCGTCGCTTTCTCTCTCTAAGAATCACTCTATCTCTCTAAAACTCGAATCCCCCCTCTTTTGGCTGAAAATCTGCCTAAAAAGCCATCAGTGGCCAAAGCACGGTCGAGGGCACGGCCGTGCTTTGCCTCAGCCCGCCCGTGCTTTGGCTAGGGTTAATTACACGGCCACATGTTGGTGAAAACACGGCCGTGCCCGTGTAATCAGCTCATGTCTGCCAAACTCGGATTTGCTCTCGGCAGTAAAAGCACGGTCACAGAACACGGCCGTGTTTTGAAGGCCTCCTGCCCGTGTTTTTACTTCCGAACCTGTTCCCCTATATTCAATGCTTCGTTTCTCCCTCGTCCGGACTCCGAATCAGTCGTCGTTTGATCCCAGACGCTCGTAGTCTCGTCCTCTTTCTTTTTATGACAAACTTGCACGATTCTTTGTCCATAAAGTGAGTTAAAAATCCATTCTTCTTCAGGTCATGCCAGAGTTTCTTCTCCCGAATCGCCAATTGATCTCTGATTGACTTGAAACTTGCGCCTATGCTTCACTTTATGTGCTAGGACCTGAAATATGACAAAGGAACACAACCTAGCGTAAAATAGGACAAAGAAGCGATAATGCAAGCTTAAACGATCAAGAACCAAAGGGGAAAAATATGTGCAAATATCGAGTCATCAGTCCCCCTGCTGAACCCCCTGGTAAGACCATAAGTTGTGCTCCCCATAATACATACGGGCATGGGTAGATTAACAGAACTCTACCCATCGGGATAGAACCGGGCAACGACAACGAACTTCCTAAAGCATGGCGTGAGTGGAGCACTAGCAATGTACTCACTAAGGATCTGCGGGCATCGACCCTCAATGAAAAGATTAACCACCTGAGTAATAGAGGCAATCAAATCTTTTGAGATAGCAACAGAAGCACCAAACAATCCATAAGATGTTGAGCGCGAAAACCATCCCTCCCGCAAGAAGTACCACGCGGGAAGATCCTAATCATATCCAAAACAATGGTTGAAGATGCTTATCTTGTAGAGCCACACGAGTGGCATCAGAATAAGGGGCAATGCCAGATAAAGAAAGTACCCGAACAACAGTAGTATAATGGCCATCACAAATCTTCCACCGACATTGTCAAAGGTTGAGCTCACTCAAATCGAGATCCTCCTCCACAGCAAACGAAGGGTAAACCTCATTTAAGATCTCTCGCAAAAGCTGCAAACCACCACCAGCCCCCCCCCCACCCCCAAGTAAGAATACCGCTAGTAACACTCTCCTCCTAACGAAGGCGCCTAGCAGCAGATCAGCACTCAAGATTACTCTGCGGTGAAAAGGTCTTAAGCACACAAAGAGGTAACACAAGTAAGCGGATCCAACCGGAGAGGTCACCAGGAGAAACACCCACATCATCTAATGCCCCTTTCATAGCCCGCGCGAATCCAAGACGACACTTAGGAGGGATAGATTTCATAGTGCAACGACCCATAGAGAACAAACGATTAAGCAAAGAGATAGACCAACCCACCGGTTCCACCCTAGCATTAGATGAGGTAACCGACGAAGACGGAGCTGAATTGTTATGTGTTGATTGTTATATTTTATTCATTATATAAATTATGAGTTGATGCATTAAGCAAAAATTTTCTCACTTTATGATAATGTGATGTTATATTGGTTAATCTGGTTAACCAATTAATCAAGCCGATTAAACTTTAGTTTGGTTAATTTGGTTTTTGTATTAGTTTGAACGGTTTGGTTATGATATTGTATTCCATGGTTAATAGAATTTAGACTTATTTTGTTTAATAATTACTATAGTAACCATCTGAACACCCCTAAATATGAATGGTTCACTACTGTTGTTTGGTACAATGAGAAAAACTCTTAAAATATTAAAACAATTTGTGAAATGCCCCTCTTTTCCGATTTTCTTATTCGCCTAAACCTATTTTTGGAATTCTAAATTGAAAGTTTGAATATTGATGTTATATGTGTGTGAATTTTCATTATATGTTGCATCTAAGTACGACCTATTATTTTGAAGTAATGTTATATCATATATGTTATTAGTCAAATGTTAAATGAAATGTGATACAATGTATAAATGTATGAACATTATAATGACCATTTTCTTATATATGGGATAAAGCGAACTAAAGTGGTCAGATCATTAAGTGTCAATCCACTTACTTGTCCAGAGTAAAAAAACTAATCGGAGTTGGCAACTTTGATAAAAAAAGTAATGAATCCGGCCGTCGGGGCAGATACATAGCTGTTGTATAAAAAAGAAAAAAGGTGAAAACGCAAAATGTAACTGGGCGTAACTTGGGGTTTCCCCATCCCTCATTCCAAATTTACAATGATATATTTAGAGGCGTGTTATTTGCCACCCGTATATTTACTATTTGCCGCCCGTCTATTAATTTGAAATGACATTTTTGCCCCCACTCCCTTCCCTCCCAAACTCTTCTGCCCCCTCCCTCCCAAGTCCCAACCATCGCCGCCGACCAAAGCAACCTCCGCCGCCGACCACCAAAAACCATCTCCACCTCCGTCCACCACATCATCACCGCCGCCGGACCTCCCAAATCATCTCTGCCGCCGTCTGCCACATCATCGCGGCCACCGAACCTCCCAACCCACAACCGCCGGACCTCCCAATTATCGAAACAGAAAAAAAAACTTCGTCCGCTCGCTGGCGGCGGACGCCGTCCGCCTACGACAATCGGACGGGGTCCGATTTGCTACGTCGGACGGGGTTAATTAATAAATACTTATTAAATAATTAATAATTTACAAACAATCATTACAAAAAATAAAGCAGCGGATATTTAATCATAAATTAATCATAAATACTGTCTAAACTTATGAATAATTCATTTTAATTATGTAGAATAGTTATAAAATATTTATAAATTTTGAATAAACCTTTTTAATTGTATTTATTTTCATATTTATAAAACTTCCAAGGAATCGAGGCACGAAGAGGACTCTTTGCGGCTCGGGGAAGGTCGGGCAAAAACATCTTTTAGCAATTACTAGAGTCACCGACATGAAAAATTATTGAAAACTTTCATCAACCTCTTAAAATGTGGATACAAATGTGTTGGATTCGATTGTTTATCAATCGGACATCCCGACAAAAAGAGATGAATAGTGCCAAAACTTTCATCGAGGTGTTTTTAGGGCTCTGAGGGTGGTAACTAGGAGTTTCTTGAGCCTATCACGTATATTTCCACGAGGCGAAATATTATTGTTAGTGGAGGGAGAGATGATTTTGCCTCTAAAATAATTTCAGAGTAGGATTGGATGGATTGAGGTTGAAGGTAGATATTCAAGGGAATGAGGGTTTAGGGTTTCGGAGGAGTATAAGGTATAGGAGGTGGATGAGATGCTTTCCTTCTTTATTGTCATTATTGGTCCAGTTGAGTCGAGTTGATTCTTATTGTTGTTATACGTCGTCTTGGGTGAGATTATTTCAACTGTGGTCAAACCCTAATTAAGTCAAACCCTAATTTGGGTCAAACCCTAATTCCCTCAACCAACTGTGATCAAAATAATATATTATTTAGTCAAACCCTAATTCGGGTCAAACCCTAATTAAGTCAAACCCTAATTCCCTCAACCAATTGTGGTCAAAATAATATATTAATAAATTATATTTTATACGTGTTTGATAACTACCGTAAGTGGATTGGGGTTTTAACTAATTTGGATTGGGATATTAATGTATTAATAAATGATAATCATTAGATGTATTGGGAGGAAATTACGTTGGTTGGGTTGTTAAATAGAAAAATACAATTAGAGTGGGTGGGATGTTAAATGAGTGTAATTAGGGAACTATTGCTAGACGCGGGTTATTGTAGTTATTTACGAAAATAATTATCAAGTTAATTAGGAAGTTTCCTTTCGAATAATTAGGAAGTTATTGTTAGTTGTGGGTTATTGTAGTTAATCAACAAATTAGAGGTTGTTAATTAGGAAGTTTCCTTTTGAAAAATCTTACTCAAAATAAAATATTTAATTAATGTAAACTTATATACTCCTCTATTTAATATTCCATAGCTCACAAAAAAAAATCTACCAAAACTATATCAACGGAAAAATAAATCTTACCTTAAAAAACTCCCTTTAATTTGCCTAATTATCAGTTTTATAAATATTAAAATTAGTTTACCTACTTAATCACAATTCTAACATAAAAATCACTTTAATTTCCACAAAAAAGTCATCGGAATTCAATGGAAAAAAAAAGTAACCGGCGGCCGTCCGACGCTGGAGATCGGACCCCGTCCGCCGGAAATGGTCGGACCCCGTCCGATTGTCGTAGGCGGGCGGCGTCTGACGCCGGCTAGCGGACGGCGTCCGACATCGACGAGCGGACGGCGTCCGACTCTGGCAAGCGAACGGCGTCCGACGCCGGCGAGCGGACGGTTTTTTTTTTTTTGTTTCGTTAATTTAGTAAATATGTTTATGTTTATATTTATTTTAGACTCAATTGGAAGGTCCGAAAGTTTGACGGCAGTGTAGATGATTTGGGAGGTGCGACGGTGGTGATGATGGGGTGGACGTAAGATGGTTTTTGGTGGTCGGCGGTGGATGTGGCGGACGACGGCGATGGTTGGGAGGGAGGAGGCGGAAGGGTTTGGGAGGGAAGGGGCAAAATTGTCCTATTGTTCGTAACTACGGGCGGCAAATAGTAAAAGCACGGACAGCAAATAGCGATTCATTATATTTATTGGGCTCGAGTAATGAGTAGAATTGGGCCGGTACGCTCCATATAGGGCCGGTACGCTCCATATACTACCCTCGAAATCCCTAAACCCTAATCGTTGAAAGAGCGGGCGAAAATGGAGAAGAGAGACGAGCACGAGACTATACAATACAAGTTCCTCCCGACTAGAGATACCATACCACCACTTGCATGACCGAAAGGTTAGCTTCGTCGGCGCCGTTGGCGATTTCACTTTCCCCGCCGCTCCTATGGCGCCGGTAGCCATTTCCGGTTTCCTGTCTTTCTTTCCTTCATTCATATCGTTTGTTTGAACAAATCCGTTTTCACCAGAAAACCTACATTTGGCGATGATGATACAAAAAGGCCGGACTTACGGCTGCTGCCATTCGCCTGTTCGTTTGGCCTTGGTAGTAGATTGATGATACATTTTTTCCAAAGGTGTACGCTGAGCCAAATTTTCAACTTACCCAGTACTAATTTTCTTCTTCCTTCTCCTCGCTCTTATTCAGCTGCTGAAAACTAATCTTTGTGTTTGTCAAATTGGAACCTTTTAAATCCATTATTGAAGATGGTAGTGTCGTTATTTGTTGCATCCAGGCTGATGCTGTTCACTGAAAATAGTCAACTGGTCCCATCCGAAGCATGGGATTGTGGTCAATGTATTCACTGCTACTGCAGATTATCTCCCCCGAGTTTCAGTTTCAAGCCCTTGGCGGTATAGTTCATCTATAATCAATTACTAGTTTGTCTGTGCAGTTCTTTGTAACTTTTCATTTTCTATTCTGCGACAGGAGAAACTGTTAGAATCAGGGTTACCCTAGAGGATACTGCACCAGGATTCATGTCTTCGTGTATGCTGAAGATGGGGTAAGATCATAAGCAGGATTACTGTTTGTCTCTGCAATTCTTTCTGAACTCTTCCTTTCCTTTTCTGCGACAGGAGAAAACTTGCTTGGAGCGACTGATAATGGGAAGAAGATTGAGGCCCCAAGAAATCCACCATGGATACAACTCTCTCTCAAATCTTATTACCTGCATAAAAGTTGTCGAAGTAGAGGCATTATAGGATCTTTGGCATCAAGCTTCTAGTCTAATGGACAGCCATTAGCAACTGCGATTAGAGATTCTATAGCCTTATTAATTGCCAGAGTGTAAATATGCTTTGTATAAGTCACGTACATTCCATCCATCTCATTGTTTTTCATCTTCGATCCGAGATCGTTGAGGTCCCTTAATCGAGTACATTGAAGTGACCCATAAGTGTGTACATTGAAGTGTCGTGCAAGGCTCACTTTGTTATCGTAGAGTTGTAAGTTGTAGCAAAGCGCATGCTTGCCATAACATGCCCCCCAAAAACCCTGAGCAATGACCACCTGCTTTCAGTACCAACGGCTGAGATGCATGTGACATATGGATAAGTAGAAACTAACAAACCAAAACTCATGTCACTATCTTGAAAGTTACAGTAACTGTACGAGGACCGATCAATCTATAACCTCGTATACATTTGAGTTGGTTTTGCTTTGGAAGTTGCAGCATTCATAATACAATGTGAAGCACCTGCATTGTTGCTAACTCTATTTGTAAATACACACCTTGGTCTTGAGTTTGAAGCTAAAAGCAGAGAGCAGCCCTTGAGCTAATTTAATCAGCCCCAATTCACTTCACTTGACTCCCTCCTCTAGAGCATTGTTGCTGAAACTGATCCCACTCTTCTGGTGCCAAAACTGCAGTTCCTAAATTAGCTCTGTACACAAGCGCATGCTTCTTCCTGGAATAACAGTGTCCACAAACAGACTAATTTGGCGGAGGCATAATATCCTGCTCATTGGGTTGGTGAGCTACCACAGCACCCTCACCAACGGCACCCACGTTCCTACGCTGCCTCTCTCGTAGGTAGAGCACAGTGAGAAGACACACAAACAGAGTCAATATTGTTGCATTTCCTTCTTCCATTATCACATTCTCTACCCACGCTTCCACTCTTGGGTACACTTCAGGCAGTGAATCAATCATGTCAACCTAACATTCAGCATCCACAACCATTTTTAGTACGGGTCTATCGTAGTAATTTTTGGACTGGAAATTTGGAAGAAACTAACCATGAAACTGTCGCCATAGTTCTTTCGAATCCACAAGCTAGTTAGGGCAAGTGTCACAGGCAACTTTGCAGTAGAATCAACTTCTAATGCTTGATCATAGTAACGCTTAGCAAGATGGAGGTCCAGTGGAAGGCCTTGACCATGCTCGTGCATATATCCAAGGTTGAACATGGCCTGTGCATTAGATTGAGATTTAGCATGCATGTAAGCCTCTGCTGCACGCTCATAGTCCCTTTCAGTACCCTAAACAACAACAAAACAGCAGTCAGGAATATTCATAGACACATGGTCTACAAGAAGCTCATCAGCCTCAAGCAGTCAGTAATAAGGGGTGGCCATGGTCTGGTTCAAACCAGATTGAATCCGCATAAGACAGTCAAATATGAAGGAAAATGGGAGCCAAAGTCGGATAAAAAGCGATTTGTTCCATTCCAGTTATGACTAGGTCCGCTTTTTTCCTTGTTCAAATTATATTTCGGCCCAGTTTAATTTGGTTCAAGTATTAATTCAGTCTGATTTGATCTGGAGTGAACTGACTACCCCTAGTTAGGATGGTACAGGCGAGACAGAGAGAGAGAAGATGCATACCCGGCCATAGTAATATGCATCGCCAATCAGTAGGGCAGCATGCTCGTTACCCTGCTCAGAAGCTTGCCACCACAGTGCATGAGCACGTTGATGCCTCTCTGCATCACCACAGAATCCAGATTCCCCTACACACATGCTCCTCTCTCCATATTTGTCAAGGATCCATGCAGCATTACTTTGAGCAATCTCATAGCCCATCTCCGCCATTCTGGAATACAACAGAAATGCCTTGCCGACATCACCCTTGAGATAAGATTCTAATGCCCATCTAGACAAAGAACTCCATGGTCCTCTTTCTGCAACCAGTTTATACAGTGCGGTAGCCTGGTACAAAGACAGATTTGTAAGGAGATACAGCTCTTGCAATTCTTGAAGCGTGCAACAAGACACTCTATGTTTTTTTTTAAGAATGAGCTCATTATATTATACATGCGGAATGAGGATACTGATAAACTGATTGGCCAGTTTTTCCTTGGTTATTATAAAAAAGAATGGAGTCACGAGGCTTATCTAATGAAAGGAGGGAAGGCAGCAAAGATAGTAGTATTGATTTGCAAATTACAAAGTGACTCCTAGACGACATTTTACCTAGATAGTGGATCTAATCAATGCCGGTTACAACCGAATAGTTCACTTTACAGTTATAAATTGCCCTAATTAGTTCTAAGGGAATAGCAACTGTGAACAACGCCAGAAAAGAAAAAGAAGAAGGAAATACTTAAGTCATAAAAAACTTACCATTGGCAGATTCTTTTTAAGTCCAACACCTGTCTGGAACATTTTGGCCAGCTGATAAAATGCCTTGGGTTGACCAGCATTAGCTGCAACTATGAAATACTGACAAGCCAGCCTTATGTCTCTCTTTACACCAATTCCTTTAAGAAACATGACTCCAAGGTTATAATGGCCCCCAGGCTCCTCATTCTCGGCAGCTTTCTCAAAGTATTCCTTCGCCTGTCATAAAATCATTCTGATTATTGACAAATCCCTCCAGAAGTATTTGCAACAGAAGCATAGAAACAAAGGCAGTCTAGAATGTCTACAAATGCAACAACAGATGAATATATGTTGCAAATTATGAACTTCAAAACATAGACACTTGAGTACACCCCTGATATGGAGCTATGGCACAACTAGCAACAAAGAAAACACTTCAATCATGCTTAGACAGATGGCATCATCATAATTCAGCACAAGTTCAAAGCTCAAGTAAACTTGTGAACCTGGAAAAAACATTTCCAGTAAACACAGACATGAACAAGGAAACAGCATGCCAGAAATATCGACAGATTAATAATAACGACCGGGAAGAAACTAAAGTGGACATACTCTGGTGTAGTTTTTCTTCTCCACTCCATATCCTTTGACATAAAGATACCCCATGCCGTTATAGGCTGAATAAAGTTGCTGTCTTGAAGCAAGTGTAAGCCATTTGAGAGCTTTGGTATAGTTCCGCTCAACTCCAGCTCCCCTGGCATAAATCTCCCCAAGAAGCTCCATTGATCTGGGTTCCCCTTTCTCCACAGCCTTAGAGAACCACGACAAGGCCTTAACATAATCACGCCTCAAGCCTCTCAAACCAAAGTAGTAGAACAGACCAATTTTGTACATAGCCGCAGCATTGCCCTTTTGAGCCTGATACTCCAAAATCTGAAAGTCCTCATCCTCTTCGCCTTTAAACTTCCTAAGAGCATCCTTGTTCTCTTCTGCTCCATTGTGAATCCTAACAGGTTCGATGACAGGCGAATCTTTGGAGATCAGGAAACTGTTGACCGCCACTTCGGCTAGTTCAGCATACAATTTAACCGCTTTATCATACATCTACAGCAGCCAATTGGAAGGAAAACGCAGAAGAATCAGATACAAAGAAAACCCCCATGATCGACGTAATGCAAGAAAGAAACAATTCAGAACTCACTCACATCCTGACGGGAGTAGGTATAAGCTAGCGCCATCTTCGACTGCAGACTCCCTCCCTGGGCAGCAAAATGGTGATAGAGAAACGCCTTGGCTTTGCTCATTTCCCGCATCTGGCCCATCCCGAAGAGAAACCCCAGCAACGACTGAGCGTGGGGATTGCCTTTCTCCGTGGCTGCCGCCTCGATTTCAGCGGCGGCTTCCTCCATCAACCTGATCTCTCCATTGGTCACAGCGGAGAGCATCTTCTCAACTACCTCGTAGTAGCCTGCCATCTCGCCATTGGCGGCGGCGGAGGAGGAAGAGTCGGGCTCGAAAATTGGGCGCCATGAGCCAGGGTCGAGCTGGTGGTCGGGCTTGGAATCGGAGTCGCCGAACTCGTCCCACTCGGACTGGGACTCGGAGGAGGAGAGATCGTCGGAATCGGCAGGAGTTGTGGAGACGTCCTTGAGGTCGTCCTGAGAGAGGACGAGGACGAATGGCCGGGCGACGAGGGAGAGAGGGTAAAGCGATAAGAGAAGAAGAAACAATCCGATCCTGATCTTGAGCGACGGTCTCATCTTTCTTCCCTCTAATTCTTCTTCTTCGGAGCTCTTTCCTTCTGGTGTGAAGAAGGCGGATTGTCGGAGGAGGTTGGATGGGGGAATTGTTGTCGGCTGCCGGCAGGGTAATTCTGGAATTTAACTTAAATCGTTCTATATGCTGATTGACACGTCATGCGATGCAGTTCAGACAATGGCGGTCAGACAGCAGAGACAATTAGGGTGTTCAACCGGATTGGTTGTCGTGGTAACCATTTTAGGTGGTTTGGTTTGGTTTGGTTTCAATACTGCTAACTAGGGGCGGAGGTAGCGTGTAAATAGGGTGTTCTATGACACACCCTTGGATTGGGACTAGAACATAAAAAAAAAAAATTATAGGTATTAGTTTATGCTATAACTAGGATTTGAACATGGAACCCCCTTATTATTAGCTTTGGCATCTTATATTAAACTACAATTACTTATGTGATACACCAATACGTTTTATTGTATATATATAATTAATTTACGTTTACAAATAAAAATAATAAGTAAATTAAAAAAAACTCATAATTGTATCCTTATTCAAGCAGTAATCGGAACGTTAGCCCTAACAACCAAGACTTCTCCCAGTCCCACCTTTCATCTTCCTTCGTTCTTCTTTCCCTTTTGGCAATGAAGTACGTGAAAAACACTCTTCGGAGTGGAATGAGTGACGATATCATGAATGATTTTTTTGGTAGGATACATTGAGAGTGACATTCTTGATAGTGTGGATGATGAATGTATTTTACAGAGTTTTCAAACTACGAGAATTCGTCATGGGTCACTCTTAAAAATTGATAGTCACTTTAATTTTTTTAAGTTGGCACCCCCTTACCCAAAATCCTGCTACGCCACTGCTGCTAACCAATGAAACCAATTAATAATACACCTAAAATACAAAATTATTATACTTCCATGCAACCAACCAAACCAAACTTTCGTGATTCCCTATTTTATTTTCATATGCACAACAAACCAAAACATTATGGGTCAAAATTTAAATGGGTCTGCCTATTTACTAAACCAAAACATTTTGGACAACTATTAGACTTTAGGATTACGTACAATACCATGACAGTCACTTCAAACTATGTATAGTTTAAGTGTTTTGTATGAGAGTTTTAACTTTCTGATGAGGGGTATTGGTATGTATTTATGTTAAGGGGTTTGTTGTAAGCTAAGTAGCTAGCTATATTAGGTGCAGACAATGCAGTCAAAAGCGTCATTCTTCTTAGAAGCGGAGAAGGGGTAAAATTGTAAAGCGTAGAATTAAAGCGTAAAAGCGTAAGTTTTTGACGCATAGTGCAAAATAACTAAAAAAATGTTAAGTACAACATATACTATTTAAAATATGAGTGCACATAATTTTGATAAGTTAATAAATAGCTGCAATTCGTGTCTAAAAAAGAGCAACTTATAGCCTCTTAATATTAAGTTCGTAAACATAAATCTTAACAATAAACCACCTTCCCCTCTATGCTAATGAATTTGGGAAGAACTTGGATAGTGAATTAGATTACTCTATTGAAGGTGAGAATGCATCCAAGTACCTAGTATGTATCTTTTAATATCAAATGTATCATATTGTTGGTGATTTACCTTTAAAATACAATTTTTATAATTAATTTCATGAAAATAATACTCATTAGTGAACTAAAAGCGTAAAGCGTTTTGGTGAACTAGAAGCGTAAAAGCGTAAGTTATTAAGCTTTAAAGCGCAATTTAGTCCGATTTTATACACCCAAGTTTTTACCTCATCAGCCTAAAAATCATTAAAAATTTTCAATTTAGTCAACATGCCATGTCATTGTCTCATTAGCCTAAAAATCATTAAAATTTTCAATTTCAATTTCAAATTATTTTCATAATTTATATTTATATAATAAATCATAATTTTTATTTTTTGGGTAATTTGAAGATGATAAATTTTATAAATTATCACATTATTCTAAAAATTTATTTTTTGATTAATTTGAAAATGATAAATAATAGAAGTTGGGAAAATAATTTGAATTTGAATTTTTTAAATGATTTTAGGCTGACATGGCATGTGTGACTAACGGTCAACGGTTTTGACCGTCCAAATTGACGGTCAAACCATGTATCGGGCCAATTGATACTATATGTTGCATAGTTGAAGCCTGTTAGTTCACCGTTGCCCGTCCAAATTGACGATCAAACCATGTATTGGACCAATTGATACTATATGCTGCATAGTTGAAGCCTGTTAATTCACCGTTGACCGTCCAAATTGACGATCAACACATGTATCGGAGCAATTGAGACTATATGCTGCATAGTTGAAGCCTGTTAATCTCTAAAACCACGGGCCAAAATTGATTATATGGTCATACTTCAGACCAAAATAAGGTATTAACCCTTCAAAATGCGGGTCATGAAAAGAGTTTTTCGTATACGAGTAACGAGTATTGCCATTGTAACTAACTTTCTTCTGCTCAGTAACAATGAGTGAATTAAGCAAGTGTCAAAATGGTGCAAAAATCAGGTCACAATTGTCATTAGCAAATCTGCTGTGAAGTGGAAAAGAATGACGTTGAAACTTGCTGGTCTTTGCCAAAGCTGAAAAAGTTGCTGATAAAGAACAATGCTACAAATCCACGGCCTTTCATTGAAACAAATCCATGAACTAACATTGCGTCCAGTTCCAATATAGAATAACTACTTTTTCATGTTATTCAGCAAACCCCACAGGGCCAAATAAGCCAGCCAAAGCTCTTCCTCTCTCTCTCTTGACTGCTCCAAAAATGGCAGTCCAAGAAATCATGAAGCCTCATTGGTCATTCCCTTCTATGGTCTTTCCAAATCCGGCCATGGCCACTTCAGAAGGCCCTCTTTCGTTACCTTATTCGACACAAAATAATGTGCGACAAAGGCCCTCATCATCATACTCTATCGTTTAACCATTCAATTATGCAGTCCATTATGTCCTGTCGTTCAGGCTCGAACAGCAAGTCGTGCAGGTACCCATCTAATAGCTTGATTGTTTTGTCACTTGAGGATGCTTCGTCGTAGAGCTTCCGGGAGCCTGCTGGGTCGGTCACTGTGTCTGCGGAACCATGGAGGACTAGAAATGGGACATTGAACCTATTGAGATTCTGCTGCAAGTAGGTCGAGGCTCTCAAGATCTCGTAACCTGTTCTAACTCTGATAGATCCAGTGTAGACAAGAGGGTCCGAGTACTTGGCGATTAGGGCATCAGCGTCTCGCGAGACTGGCATCCCTTTTTTGTTTGCTGCATTTATCTGGAACCTTGGCAACAGAACAGAGAAAACTGGGGCCAACACCTGCAATGGAGATAATTAAAATTAAGTCAACAATCGATAAGCTCGTCACCTAACATCATGGTCGTTGTAGAAAGGCAAACAGAAAATAGTACTTCGTACCGCGAAAATGGGATGGGATGGCTGAACTCCTACTGCAGGTGAAGTCAGTACCATACCAGCAAGTGTAGCTTCAACTTTTGGATCTAGAGCTGCCTGAAATCATGCATGTCATACGGAGACACAGAAAACAACATCAACTTCAGAACTACCATTGTTGAGAATGGATTCGACAGCATATGACAAAAGCCCGCACCTTGAGAACAATGGCACTCCCAGTGGAGTGCCCAAAGCAGAAACATGGGAGCCCAGGGTTGTCAGCTATAACCTTGTCTAGATATGATTTCTGCCACAAAAAGGACAAAAGGTTAGTGAAAATAGGAAGATAGAATATGAAAGCTAAACAATTTGTGTTTTGCACAATAAGACTCTGGACGTACCAAATCAGACACAGCATAATCTAGAGAAGGAACGTATGCATGTAGACCATCACTTCCGCCATGACCTGACAAGAAACAAGAAAATTGACCCTGGGTTTTAGCACAGATTACTGTGAACATAGAAAATATTGCTCAAACAACGAAAGTGATAAAGCTTATCAACATCAACCAGGTTTTGACAGACCATAACAATCTGAATGGGAAGGAAACAAACAAGAAAAAATAGTAGTTTAGGAACACAACAAAACTGAATATAAGCCACATATGAAAGATATGAGAAAGGGAAACAGGAATTTGCTAGACAAGAAGTTGGTCATAACTTGAAAAAATTTCTCCTAATTGTTTTCTACAATTTTAAGGTGGTGGGCCTGCTGCTGATTCCCAGATTTACCTGGAAATAAGGAAAATCTAGTGGCAATAAAATTTGCCAAGAAATTCTGAGAAAACCAAGCTTCCCAAAAGGGCTTTGACCTATAAGTTTTAGGGTAGGCATCCTTCCCTTTACCAACAAGTCCAGCCATAAATAGCAAGCTTACATATTTAAAAGGAGCTTCACATGCTACTTTTTTCCACCAATGGACATGCCAGTCCCTGCAACATCCACATATACATGCATTGTTGAAAGAGCAGTGATTTTTAGATCATAAAACACTTCGAAACAAAAGCACAGAAATTAGTTACTATTATTATTATTACTATTTTACAAAATTGAGGTTATCTAAACAAAGGTGATTCCTAAGTTTAAAAGTAATCAGAACCATTCACAGTAACTCTAATATTCTTTCCATCTGAATACTTTGTCTTGTAGTCCAAAGTTTACCCTACACACAAAGCAAGGGTGGTAGAAATGTCCACTTAGAGTACGACTTTAACCACTCATCTACAACAGCTTGATATGGTTATCAATAGATCACCCACATGCCTTAGAACGCAAATGTGAAAAGCATAACCAATACTTTTCAGAACTATAGACGCCTGAGAAATAAACTGATGACCAGAAAATAATTATTTATTTGGAATGTTGGTCTCTTTGTATGTCTACTTTAATCTGGGAGCAAACGATGAGCTAGAAGTCTAGGAGAAATGGAAGTACGATAATATAATAAATACAATTAATTTCAATTTGAAACCAAGAAGAAACAAAGTCGATCTTTGAGGTAGCTTGTCAGAATATAACGCGCACAAGATTGATCGCTGCCATTAATAACTTATATGTCAGAAAACAAATCAAAGGTTTCATCAAGCTTACCAATCCAGTCCATTCCATATACTTTAAAGCCATTACGGTTCAGTTGCTTTGCGAATTCGTTATACCGCCCACTGCCATAAACAATGATAGGTCAGAAAATAATCAAATGATTCAATAAAAAAAAAAATGCTCCCATACTAGATTGAAGTAGTAGGTGCAGACCTGTGTTCATTCAGTCCATGCATGAGAACCACGAGACCCCTGCAGAGGTAGAATGTATATTAGTCAACTTAAACCACCATACCATGTACAAAACTAGATAAATTGATGACATGACAAAACAAGTAATTTTTGCATAGGAAAGTTGCAGAATGTTGTAATCAGATTTTGGTTCTGTGACCGATTGAAGGAAAACGCCTAGCTGAAGCATACAAGAATCATAAAAGGGGGCAAATGCACCCCGAACTTAAGCACATCAGATTCAGGAAAGGGAAAAGGATAATACAACCTAACAAGGCCTTCGACAATAGTCCTAAATAAGGAATAAGACAATAGAAAAGTTAACTTTTGCTGCCTATATCAACTATTTGTCCCCTGTCTTGCATCCTTGCACATTTTTCCAGTTCAAGTTCATGGTAAGGTCAGAACAGGTAAATGAATAACAATTTACATGGCCATAAATGCAGCCAGAAGCAGCTCCAAAACTGGTAACTTTTGCTAAAGATCAACTGTTCTTGTCAACCAACTAAAAAAGTAAAGATGCAGAATGAATAGGCCAATAGAATTGTGTGCCACTTATGTGCGTATTAGAAAATCATATCAACAGTCAGACAGAGTCTGCATGCCGGAGTAGCCTGTGCTGAAAAGATAAGGGAGGGACCAGAACCAAGAATTTAGCAGAGAATCAAATGGCCATGGCATGGCTCCCATGTTAATTCGATTCTGGACGGGAATAGTCACTTTTTAGGCCACTGCTATACTGGTAGTGCCAAAACCTGCCGACTTGAAGCCAATATTCCTGAGCAGCTGATAATGACTTCATATAGAATCCCCAAATATAAAGTGGCAATAGCAGATTAAGATTCGCACCAACAACTTTGGATGAAACAAATACATCCCATGTCACCACTATGATCTTGTATATGTTCATTAATTATATGATCTTGTATATGCTCAAAAGAAATATCAGCTATACTTCCCAAGGCCGAAATAAGAAGAAGAAGAAGAAGAAGAAGAAGAAGAAGACAAGGAACAAGAAAACAGACTGCCAAGTCAACATCCATAAAAAACAACAGCAATGCCGTTGTGTAGTGTACACATTAGAAAGACAAACCACAGTAACGAAATGAAGATAACATTGTGTGCAAATCCAATCTCAACTCCAACAATGCTGCTTATGGAAAGGAAGCAACTTTTGAGAAGGGAAGGCCATTAACCAATCTATACATGTCCCGTAGACAACAATCCACAATTAGCAAGGATGAAGGAACTATGATTTAAATTTTGTCCTGAACTTGATTTTGTGCCAGAAAAGCAAGCACATTTCACATTCCTGTTTGCTAATTAATGCAGAGGCATATGAAGCTTAAACTCAATTCGAGAGATAATAATTCATACCTGATCTCCCCTGAAACCGGGAACCAAGACTGGGTAAAAACGGTGTCGCCCCTGGCAGTGATGAACATGGAGAAAGCCCTAACCGAGCTAGGATCATCATCCTGCAACACCCTCCGGATTGCAATCGTCCTCCTAGCCGCAACCTCCTGATCCAACATTGCCATGACTCCGCCTCCGGCGCTGACCCAGGAGCTCGTAGCCTTCCACGGAACAATATTAGCAGGGACCCTCACCTTCGCCCCGCCGCCGGCGCTCCCCTTCTCGCAATTGCCCTTTTCCCCGTGACCCGAAGAGCTTCCGGAGGGGGCCGCCCGCCTCCGGCCACGAAATGGGAGCAATAGCAGTATTACCACGGTATGAATCAACGCCAATAGACCCTTCAACGCCCTCGCCGAGAACAGGGCATTAATCCGGCCGCTGGCTCCGGAGGTCAACATAAGGGATTGTGTAGCGGGGACCTGTTCGAATGCCATAATTGCCCCCTTCCCGACGACAATCCCCAACTGTTGTCTTCTTCTTCGACTCCGGACGGCGGCAGAGCGTGGCGGCCGGGTGGATTGGAGGGGGTTGAATCGTAATGGGTTCCTGGGAAATGTGCCGGTGGTGATTGTGGTCGTCGGGCGGAGGAGGGAATTGGAAGACAACTCCAGCTTGTAATCCGGCAGCAGAACCAGATCATATAACAGGGGAATGAATGCCCAAACAGGGGGAAGAAACAATACCCACGGTTCAATTTTTACGAAGAAGATAGAAAGGCAACCTCTTTTCCTAAATGGAAAATGAACTATAGGTGTTGAATGAATGGATTTGTTTGTCGCTGTTTCAATATAGAGGCGGAGAAACAGGGGTCATTTGCATCCATGTTTTTAATTTGTGGGATTTTGGCTCAAATCACTGGTTTAAAAACCTAGGTTTTTAATTTGTGGGATTTGTGTGGGATTTTAAAATAGCTGATCACCATCAGCTATTTCATAATCCCACAATTGTGAGTTTCTGAAATCTCTAATATTTAAAATCTCTTATCATATAATTGCTTTCCAAATGAGTGATTTTAATAAAATCCCACATTATGTAGGATTGTGCCCAAATCCCACACCCAAAACCTGCATCCAAATGACCTGACAGAGAGAAAATGCGGCGATTGTTGGAGACGAGTTGAGGAATGATACCAAGAGAGAGGGAGCATCCAGAGACGAAGATTGTAGTTGATAGCGATTGATTTTTGTGGGTCTGGGCCCTGGGGTATTATTTTACAAAGAGGAATTCTTTAGAATTTCAGTTTCCCACTTCTTTTTTTTTTCTTTTTCTTGCTTGCTTCCTGCAACCATAATAGAGCGACATGTGGGGGATTTCCCTTCATTTCTCCGACGATAACAGAACCGTCCAAAAGATTATGGTTCCACGTGTTGGGCTTAGAATCTACGAAAGGCCCACCACGTGTTATGTGGCGGTTGAGTAGCATTGACCCACCACGTGTTATGTGGCGTTATCCTTCCCCTCTTCTTTTTCCTCCTGTGATAGAATAGAAGTCAAAGGAAGCGCCTTTAGGGGTGGGCATCCGGTTCGGTAAACCCGAACCGACCTCCAACCGAACCGAAACCGAACTTATGCTTTTCGGTTCGGAAATCGGAAAGAGAAAATGCCTAATTCGGGAGCCAGGGTAGTGCTGGCCGAACCGACGTTTCGAACACCGACCGAAAAAACCGAAAAATTATTATGCAAGCCAAATCCTTACAGCCCAACTCTCCACCCACAGCCCAATTGATCCCAAACCCTCCCCCTACAGCCCAATTGATCCCAAACAGCCCGACTGAGCCCAAACCCTCAAAATACACAAGTCACAACTCACAACCCTAGCCTCTACGGAGTCTGCTCCGCTCCCTTTCCCACTTATGGCGGCCGCCGCTACACTCCAGCGCTGCTTCTCGAGGACCTCGACCGAATCCTTCTTCTCTCCATCACCGACAGTCAGGCAGACAACGTTCTCACCTCCGTCTCTTCTCTACGCGCCTCCGTCCCACGCAGAGCACAACCGATTGAGCTGCCTAGCCGTCATTACCACTCGTCGACCGACCCCTTCACATTCCCTGTCCATCTGTTCTAGTCTCGCAACCACAAACCTGCAAAGCAAAGAACGAAACATGTTCATAGAACAAAACGAGGAGACGGAGAAGAATCGAAGAGCAACAGCAACATGCAGAGCACAAAGAACAGAGGCAAAATCCATAAAAAATCCCTAATTGAAGAAGCAAAACGAGGAGACGAAGAAGAATCGAAGAGCGACAGCAACATGCAGAGCACGAAGAAATCAGTAGGAGTGGGGAAACTAAACCTAGATCTGGATTTGGGATTCTCACCATGTACTTCGTGTTTGCGATGACCATGAGAATAGCCACCGTAGAGGAGACGACGACAGAGAATAAATGGTTGGCGGTGGTGGTGATGAGATAGTTCTCTAGCTATATCATCAGAATTTGGAGAGAAAGAAGAATCAGTAGAGAAAAAAGAGAGAGAAGTACTAGAAGGAAAGGGAGAAGGCAAAGAAGAAGAAGACGAGAGAGAGAGAAGGGGTGAGGGATTAATTGACCGAGGAGAGAGTAGAAAGAGATTGGGGTGAGGGATTAAATTGGGGCTCGTTTGAGATAAGGCAGCAGGTAAAAATAGGCAGCAGGTGAACATTTTTCGGTTTTGGGAAGTCAAACCGAACCGAGCTATAATTCGGTTCGGTTGAGCCGAACCGAATTATAACTCGGTTCGAATTCGGTGGGGGTGCTGGGTGCTTCGGAAATTCGGCATGTCCTGGTTCGGTTCGGTTCAAACCGAACCGACCGAACGCCCACCCCTAAGCGCCTTCTTCAGCTTACGGCTCTCTCATCGGATTGGGCAATTCAGAGAACTAGCTAATATGGAAATTGATAAGAATTTAACATATCAGATTACGAAAATCATATCAACCATGCAATCGTCCTAATCGACGCAATGCAATGTCTCTCGTTAAAAAATCTTATTCCGCTCTAATACCTAAAGTTATATAAGGATTCCTCAAGATAGAAAGAACATACATTTTCGGCGTAGCGGTACCTCAAACCCTGAAAACCATCGAACGCAGTGAATCAGCGAGAACCACACTTAACTCGATTTTTTTTCAAAAATGCAGAAAAACTAGTTTGGATTTTGGCAGAGTTTCGATATAAAAAAACTCGTGTTAAAACTAGAGGGGTAGGTGCTTATTTACAGAGAATGAAGGGGAGTGTATGAAGAGAGGCAACTCTTCGGGTGCGTGGTTACACCCCAACCATTGCATTGGTTGGTTCAAAATTTCTCAATCATTGCATCGGTTCGACACATGGAAGTTAGACCGGTTTTGTTATTCCAACCGTCATATTAATTCGGTTTGATTTGGTCAACTCAGTTCGGATTAATCCGGTTGGTTACACAAACCAATTTAACCGATTACGCACATATTACATCAAATCAATCAAAATTTGATGTCGCGCTTTCCCACATCTTCCAACATGGTACTTCAAGAGGTTCTCTTGTATTTTCCCCCTTTCATTTTGATTCACACCATTAAAAATTTCAACACTAGCTAGTAGCCTATTCACATTGGTGTACTAGATAACTTCCATCCCACGAAAACCATAATAACACTTATTTGTTATAGATCCAAGAATGGAAATTGAAAGCTTCTTAAGAAAGTAATGGAGGAGAGATTGGGAATCTTCGACTTGCTCTTTAGTTGGGTTTCTTCTATTAAAAGGGTTCCAGAATTACTGTATGCCAAAAGATAACAAGACTCGTGTCCTGCTCCCATTCGTCCGTAACAAACTGACATCACTAGTTATTACGTAACCAAAACTATAATGCATAATATAAGTGACTTAAAGCATCGAAATGTGTCTTCCACAACAAAGCCCTCAGATCCGGAGCTCTTCTTCAAATGGCTACTACCTTTTCATTTCCTTTGCTATGAACATTTTTAGCATGAGTATTCAGATCTAGTAATCCATTCGATCATGTCACCCCTCCCCCCACAAGTTGGCACGTATACATTCAATAAGGTCTTCACTTCTCACAAACTTCAATTTGATCAACTCATATTTGATCCTTTCCCTGGTAACATGCACATCAATTTCAATGTGTTTTGTTCTCTCGTGATTAACTGGGTTCTCAGCAATCTGTATTGTAAACATATTGTCACAGTAAATGATCACGAGTATTGCTAATCTTAAGGCTTTTTGGATGAATGTAGGATTACCTGGGACGGCAGTAGCAGCATCAGCATGTACAGTACAGTTCCAACTCTTAAGGCTTTTTGGATGAATTGGTTGCTGCATATTTTATTTGTCTTCTCATTAGTTCTGTTTTGCAGCATGGGAAAGAGAAAGCAACGTGATGAGGATATGTATGGTGCTTGCTCTAAGACATATACGTACTGGAAAGAGGAACTAGACAAGCCATTTGCTGACTGTATTCTGGAGCTAGTAGAGAAGGGGCAGATCATTGACGGCAACTGCAAGAATGGGGCTTATAAGTAGTTAGAGAAGCTGTTGCAGGAAAGAGTGTCGGGATGCAGGGTTAAGGCATATCCTAACACTGAAGGCAGGTTCAAAAAACTGAAGAAGAGATGACATGCAATAACATTTATGAGAAAACGAAGTGGTTGGGGATGGGACGAGGTCAATAAATGCATTGTATGTCCTGAGGGATCTTGGGATGAGTTTGAGAAGGTAAATTACAACATGATCTTTATTTTTCTGTCCTATAAACTACTCCTTTTCTAATATAAGCTGCCATTTTCTGTCTTTGTATATTGCTGTCTTGCAGAAGCACACAAGCTGCAGAGGGTTGAACAAGAAAAAATTTCCCGTCTACGATGACTTAGCACCGGTTTTTTGCAAAGGGCGTGCAAGTGGTGAGCATGGGGTCGACACCAATGTTGTTGACGCTATCGATTTAGAGGATGACGAAACTGCACCTGTCGAAAATGAAGAAATGGATGATATGTTGATGGAGGAAATACAAGCAGAAATGGCAGCACAGAATAATCAATCTGCCAGTGTTACCGCTTCAACCGATGGTGCTCCAATTAAGAAGAGAAAGAAAAGTAAGACAGTCGATGAGCACCTCGCCAACTCCACTAAGAAAATGAGAGAACTTTGACCACTAATTAAGCAATCAATTGACACTATTGCAAGAGCACTCGGGGAGAGCGATGATCTCATTAGCAAGAGATCGCATCTGCTGAGGAAGCTGGAAGAACTTGGAGGCCTCACAACAACTGATATCATTACTGCATTGCGGAAGCTCTCTAACAACGATAGGGACCTGGTGACATTCTATTCGTTGGAGGCAGATGAATATAAGATGGCTTTTGTCAGGGGATTGCTTGGATGAAGGCGAATGATTTTAGGACAAGCTGGAATTTTTCTATATTAATGTGCTTATGAATCAAACTTTGAAGGTTGGTCTTCATGGTTGTAATCCCAGCTTGTGTGTTGAGATTTTTGGGGACATACAGTGAAACGTCCCGACCTTTTTCGAAAATCAAACCACAACTCAAACCCAAAACCGGTTACTCCGGAGCAACCAAACCATTTTTTTAAGTCAAACCAAAAATTAACCAACGACAATAACCAAAAATCTCAAACGAAAAGCCCCAACACTTGGGCAATCATTATCAAAATACTTAAAACAACTTAACCCAGAATCTTGAACCTTGAATCTCCAGTACATATACTCATAACCATAAACAATATAATTAAACTAACTCTAGCTTTAACTCCTGGTTGAGTTCCTTGAGGTCTCGTCCATGCTGGTACAGTAGCTCGCCTCACACTGCCTCTTCTCGGGATCCACCCTTGCTAACCCTTCCTCAACCTGGTGAGTGAGAAGGGGTCAGTCTCGTCGTTACCTCCTAAGGTCTTTGCCCTAGGCAAACTACTTTCTAAAACACGTTATTAGCATTTCTTTTCTTTAGATGAAAGCCGTTCTCGTTTTCATCCTTAATAACTCATTTCAACTTTAACCCATAGAGGTTCTCAACTTTTATCCTTAAATCATAGAAGTTCTCTACTACTACCTTAACTTACATACTTATTACTAGGGAATCACCGCGTTACGTATCGCCGTCCGGTGTCCCTATCCTCAAGGCAATGGTAATGCGTTACGTATCGCCGTCCAGTCCATGCCCGGTCAACTACTGCGTTATGTATCGCCGTCCAGTAGTGACCCGACCATCTACCGCGTCCAGTAGTGGCCCAACCGCC